GGAGGAGGAGGAGGAGGAGGAGGAGGAAGAGGGGGACGGGGGGGGGAGGCGTCCAGGACACGACGGCTTCAACCTTGAGCGCACCCGAACACCCCCCCTTGACTGCGTCTCGCGGCCAAGGGGGCGCTCCGGGGACACCTCGGCGCTTCAACCCTGGACGCCCCTCGGGCACCTTCGCTTAACCGCGCCTCGCGTCCGTGGGGACGCCCCGGGGACACCACGGCTTCCATCCTGAACGCCCCCCCCCCCCCAGGCACCCGCGTTCCGCGGCGCGGGGGGCGCCTCGGGACACCCCGGCTTCGACCTGGAGCACCCCCCGGGCACCCCCCCCCCACTCGACCGCACCTCGCGGCCGTGGGGACGCCTCGGGACACCTCGGCTGCAACCTGGAGCGCCTCTGGGGCCCCGGACCCTCGACCGCGTCTCGCGGCCGGGGGGGGGGGCGCCTCGAGACACCCTGGAGGGAGGCGACGTGTCGCTGGCGACGGGACGGGCCACGAATGGCTCGCCCCATCGCCTGGCGACGGGCCACGAAAATGGCCCGCCGCCCAAAACCACGCTCATCGTCTCATCGTTCTTCGCCCCCCCCCCCCGGATAGCGCGCCTCTTCTTCTTCCTCCTCCTACTCCTCCTCCTCCTCTTCCTTCCTCCCTCCTCCCTCCTCCCTCCCCTCATCCTTCCTCTCTCCTCCCTCCTGCTTCTCGTGCTTCTCCTCCGTCTCCTCCTGCTCTTCCTCCTTCCCTCCCTCCCTCCCTCCCTCCCTCCTCCCTCCCTCCCTTGGCTGTTTGTCATCCGTCCTTCACCTGCTCCAGCTCTTATCCTCCTCCTCCTCGTCCTCCTCCTCCTCCTCCTCCTCCTCCTCCTCCTCCCCCTCCTCCTCCTCAGGTGCGTTCTGGCCATGATCGAACCCGATCGTGGCAGTGAAAGCGCCCTGCGCAACACAACACAAGCACAAAGAAAACCATAGGAAAGTCTCGAGCTTCCAACCCTGCTCCTCCATCGACGGAGGGGGATTGGAAGGAGCGCGCGGGTACTGAGGACGGCCCCAAGAAGGCGTGCAAGATGGCCACGAGAAGAATCCAAGGTAACCCAAATGAGACTGAAAAGTCCGGAGGACAACCCAGCACACTTGTTCGAAAACATTCAGACGGGGGATGAGGACGTGGAGTTTGGAAGTGAGATGGAGGTGTGAAGTGACCGACAAAAACGATAGGAGTTGGGAAGGCCACGGGAAGGAGGGTGAGAACGGGCGTAGGAGAACCGCAACAGAAACTAGAAGATGGGAATCTCCCAACTGGTTTTTGCAAGCGCCTGGGAAGGCTCCAGGAAGGCGCACAAGGCAACCACGAGGAGGACCCAAAACAACTTCAGGGGAGAAAGCCCGAGAGCCGTCAAAAAGAGTCTGGCAAAACCATACTGAGTCACTTTGGATGCCCTACGGGGGCGTTCTTGGTGGGCTCTTTGAGAAATTGGTTGGTGTCTCTTGGAAGGCCTCTCGGAGGCTTTTGTCATATTTGGAGCCTCCATAAGGGGGGCCTCTTGATGCTTCTACGGGGTGTTTGTGGGGCCCCTCGGGCGCTCCTGGAGCCTCTTGGAAGCCTTTTGGGGCCCTGCTAGCAATCTTGGGAGCGTGTTGGGGCTCTCCTGGAGAGCTGTCGGGCTGAATTCAAGGCCTTCTGGGCCGTCTTGGGGTCCTGTCGGAGGCCTCACGGGCCGTCTTGAGAGGTTTTGGGGGGCTCTTGTGCTATTTTACAAACTTGGAATCGCGATAAAGCGAGAACACAACAACCGATGAAACAACGTATGTGAGATCAATATTTTTGCCTCCTGGCACCTTCGACCCATCCCGCCACCGTGCATGGTTGTGGGTTGGAGGCCTCTTGGATATTCGTTGGGATATCGTGGGTGACGTCTGCAGTTCTGAAGTCTCCGGGGGAGGCGTTTGGGGGCCTCGTGGCGCCTCTTTTGGGCTTCTTGTGGGCTCTTGTAGCCGCTTGGGGGCCTCTTGGGGTCTCCTGGGGACCTCTTGGGGCGGAAGGCTGGAATCGTCGGCTCGTGTTCCCCCTCTCTTGGGCCCCTCTTGGGGCCATCTTCAAACCCTCTCATGCTGTCTTGGGCGCCTCTGGGGCCGTTTTGGGGCCCTCTTGGGCCGTCATGGTGGTTTCTTGAGGGCCTCTTTGGGTGAAGTTGCAGGCTTCAGCCCGAAATCTCGAGAACGCTACAAACATTGAAAAATGTTGAAAACCAATGATTGTGGGCGCGTCGGGCACTCTTGGAAGTCATCTAGGAGCGCCCTTGGGTCCTCTTGGAGACTTCTTGGGGCATCATGGGGCCATGTTTGACGGTTTGGAACGCTCTTGGGCCGTCTTGGCGGCTTCTTGCCGCCCCCGGAAGCCATGGTGGACGCCTCGGGTAGCCGAAACTGCTTCCAAGACTCCGAAAACGAGCCCCAGACCCTGGGGGCTCATGTCGGTTACGGGGGGGGAGTTTTGAAAAAGTGTGCGGCCCCGGTCCCCCGGGCTATGGACGCCCGCTATATTCATTTACATCTATATATATAGAGAGAGAGACATGTATAGATATATAAACAGATCTGCATACATATATACATATATATATAAATAAATAAATAAATAAATAAATGTCAGAGTGAGAGGGCCGAACGGTCATTCATTGTCCCTGGGTGAGTGGCTGAATAAGGAATTCGTAATGAAAATTCTGATTGTTGCTGTTGCTGTTGTTGCTGTTGTTGTCCACCCGCGACCCACCCGCGACCCAACCCGCGACCCACCCGCGACCACCCCGCGACCCAACCCGCGACCCACTCCGCGACCCACCCGCGACCCAACCCGCGACCCACCCGCGACCACCCCGCGACCCACCCCGCGACCCAACACGCGACCCACCCGGCGACCCACCCGCGACCCACCCGCGACCCAACCGCGACCCACCCGCGACCCACCCGCGACCCACCCGCGACCCACCCGCGACCCACCCGCGACCAACCCCGCGACCCACCCTCAAGGGAGGAAAAACCACCCGGACCAGACAATTGACGTTTACTAAACGGCCCTTGGCGTTTACTAAGCAGTCCTGCCCTGTTCGATTCATTCCTTGTGTGCGTTTACTAAACGGCTTCGCTTGCCAGGGTGATTATCATGGGGTGAAGTTTCTGCCCTCTACACCCGCGACCCACCCGCGACCCAACAACGATCCACTCGCGACCCACCCGCGACCCATTTGCGACCCACCCGCGACCGACGACTTTGGTTTAACGAAAAATCGGTGCCTGCGGCGGGCTCGTTGCATAATTTGTTAAATTTTCGCGCCTGCGGCGGGCTTCTCCAGAATCTCGCAACTGCCGACGACCCCACCGCCCCCATCACTCTTGTCCGCATCTGCGGGGTGTTACGTATGTATGTGTGAGATTATGTATACAGGCACACATAGCTAAATATATATATACATATATATATATAGTATCACCATCTGTGTGTATATATATATATATTCTACATACCTAAACTAGAACCATCGCGCGCGCGCCTCGCGCGCGCTCAAGTTCTAGCTAGGCGACATGGTCGAACCCTTGGGGATCTCCACTTAGGGTACTTCTTCTCCCGGCTTCCAAAAACCACGAAGACGGTCCAAATGGTTTTCAAGACTTTCTACGGTCCACCCACGGCGTCCTAAGACAGGCCCAAGAGGCACTTCGAGGGCCTTCCTATTCGCCGCGGCTGGACGTATCCGGAGGAAGATGGAGGAAAAGGGGAGGAAGGGGTTCCCTGGGGGAGAAGAGGAGGATGATGAGTTGGAGACGGTGGAGGAGGCCGCAGAGGAGGAGGAAGAGGAGGAACATGGAGAAGACGCGGAAATCTGATATTCTTCTTTTGGCAAGTGGGAAGCCAGGTCAAAGAAGAGCCACCGACTACCGATTAAATCATACGAGCTCCTGCGGAATTCAGGTGCAAGTCGGCCTGGCAATCTGACACGCCTGTGCGCGAGTGTCATGACAGACAGTCAGACATTAAAAGCGATCAGGAAACGAATCCGAGGAGTGGGGAGCAAGCATGCAAGCGCGCCATCCACGTCCAAGGTGCGTTGGAAAGAACAGGTGACGCAAATCGTGGTAGCGTTCCTGAAGGCACTGTACGTTACAAACAGACCAGGAGGAGGAAGAGGAGGGGTGGAGGAGGAGCTGTCATCGATAATGATTGCAAGCTGGAGAATTTTGGGCGGATGCACCATGCCAGCCCGCCTTGCTGTCACATCTGGCGTAGGGCGTCTGTGCCGCCAACTGCTTCACACGCCATGCCGAACGCACAACGTGTCCAAGAACATCCACCTGTGAGGAGCGTGGGGGGGGAGAAGAAACAAGCCCTGAATATGAACAAAGATTGCTGAACCGCTTTGCGCGGATGCGCTATGCCAGCCCGCCTTGCTGCCATTCCATGCCGAAAGCACACCGTGTGCAAGAACATGCACCTGAGAGGGGTGTGGGGAGGAGTAGAAGCAAGTCCTGAGCATGAATGAAGATTGTTGGGCTGTTCGCAGGCGGACGTCACCTACAACTCAGCCTGCCAGCCTGACACGCCTTGGCGCGAGGGGCACACCGATTGACGCACTGATGGGCTTTCGCTGCTGAACACTCAATAGTGAAGGCAAGGGAAAGACGGGGAGGAGGCAGAAGGATGGAGCAAGGAACAGGAGGGAGGAAGAAGAGCCACCAGCTTCTCAATGTCAGCATGCTGAGCTGTGCGCAAGCGGAGCTCACCTCCAAATCTGCCCAGGTGCTTCTGTGTTGCTTTCGCTGAGCAAAGGCAGCGCCGTCCAGGGCATCGTGGGGACACCTTACTCTCCGGATAGTGCCTTGCACCAAGAGAATCTTACTCGTCTCCCTGAACGTTCGGCTTGCATTTCCTCGCGTGCGCTCGGAAAGCGCCCGTACTGCCCGAGCAACTCCTCTCCTCAAAACCGGCCCCCCCGCTGCTGCCCTTCCTCCGGGTTCCGTTTTGAGCATTGACATGTGCATTGCACCGCAAAGAGTGTATCCTTTAGCCCTAGAGAATCCACTGTTTTGAGTCTTCGCAAGCTGTAAACGCCGCGCTGTTCCATATCCAGCTGCCCTGACGCACCTCGCAGAACGCCACAATTACCAGAAATGTGAAACAACTAGTGGCACTGGACCGCGATGCGGCGAGGGGCGAAGACGCAATACCTGAAGCAAATAGGGCGCCGTGTCAAAGCTACGCAACGGCCAGAACAGGAATAAGTGGATCACTGGCAACAGGCGCTGCGATTTTGCCGCGCTGGCTCCAACGTCTGAATAGATGGTTAACCTACGCGTGCATCTAAACTATCTATGGGTCAACAGCTGAACGTCATGCGTCTCGGTCTGGAGCGAAAAAAACACGCGGAACACATCAAATGAGCCTGATGTGGGAAGGTTTGGCGACTCCCCTGGGCATGGTCTGCAGAAGCCAGACCCATCATGCCGTACAGAGCGAGGAGGCAAACCAGCGTCTCAATGTCTGTTAGACTCGGAGCGCGGAAATAGGCAGCGGAACCCTCCACTGCAGAAGTAGGAATCGGAGATCTCTGCCATGGTATGGCAGAGACCTCCTGCTCTACACATTTCGGTATTTGGGCGGCGCAGCGGGCCGTATGTCCCCATTCCCCTCCCACATTGACGACGAGGGCTTCGAAAGACCAGCGCGCCAACAAGTGAACGCACGTGCCTCGAAAATTCCACAGACAAGTGGAAGCGTTGGAGTCAACACATCATGACTTGCCTTGTCCAGCGGTTCTCTCGACCGACCTAGCTGCTTGGGCGCGGCCAGCGATTTGACACCTGCGGCTCTTCTGAGCCGAACGGGCCGCGGGGCAGATCCACGGACTGGGATACGGTGGGGGTCTTCATGGGTCTTGTATGTAGGTCACGGTGAGCCTCACGTTCGCCTTGGCCGAGCGCCTCAGGGCCCGCATCGTCTCGGAATACATGTCGGTCAGCGCCTCCGCGATGTGCAGTTCGGCGTCTATCAAGGCATGGCGACACACACCCGCGTCCGGCGGCAGGCTCATCAACACGCGCTCGCAGTGCCTGGTAGCCTCCAGCTGGGACTCTTCCACGGCCTGGCCAACCGCCTGCCCAATGATCTGCTCCAACTTCTCGGGCATGGTCCACAACCGCCTCACCAGCTCGTGGCCAGCGGGGGTCGTGCTCTTGAACATCTGTACGATGGCGCTCAGCTTCAGCCGAATCGCCAGCCGCATAGCGCCGCTCGTCCCCATGATCTTCGAGTCAAACGACCTCCGGATGACCTCTGGGATTTTGCCGAGATGACTGATGGCCGCATCAACGCCATCTTCGCCCCCACCCCTGCTGCGAATGGCCTTTTGCACTAAAGCCAGCTCGGTCTTCACGCTCTCGGCAAGGCTCTTAGCCTTGTTCCGCACCACTCTGCCCAACTGCTCGGGGATGTCCTCCATTGCCTCCGCGGCAGCTGACAAGCGCCACTTGTCGAGGCTGTAACTCGTGGTCTCCTCCTGGCTGTTCGATACCCAGGCCTCTCCCATGTGCGTCGGTACCCAAGCAATGCTGACGTGGTCGGCGTCGAAGAACGCGCTGAGGAGAAGACTCGCTGCAGGGTTCGCTGGACCGGGAAAGACTGCGTGAGCTCTGGCGCTTGTCGTCGCACAGCTCGACGAACGTGTCCCTTGTCGCCACGTCCCCGAGACCATGCTTCGTGGGCGCTGTGGCGAAGATGCCACTCGTCATGGCCATGAACCGGGCCCCGTGCGTGGCAGCCGAAAATGAAGTGCTGTTCTTGAGCACAGCTAGGCCCGAGCCAAAATGTCTTGAGCCGAAATGGCTACGGAGGGGCCTCCTGGACCGTCTTGGGGCCCTCTTGGGCCGTCCTGGGGCGGTTTTGGGGGCCTCTGGGGCCATCTTGGAGCGTCGGAAACCCATAAAGCGAGAACGCAAAAAACATTGAACAACACTAGGACAATCACTGATGTTTGCCTCTTTGGACCCTCTTGAGGGTCCTCTTGGAGCGCTCTTGGGGCCTCTTTGGCGCCTCTTGGGCAGTCTTGGAGCCATCTTGGGCGTCTTGGAGCGCTCTTGGGCTGTCTTGGAAGCCTCTTGGACCCTATTGAACGCGTTCTGGAACCCTCTTGTCCCGTCTTGGGGCTCCCTTGGCCTTTCCGGGCCGCCTCTGGGAAGTGAGCTGAAAAGTGTTCCTGGATGGTTACGAACTGGGTCAGTCCGCGGGGGGTGTCTATCGAATTGTCATGTAGTTTATTTCCCAACCCTCCTGCGTTGGGTACTCGTTTTGAATAGAGCACTGTGGTCTCCACCTTCCTCCTCCCGCCTCCCGCCTCCTCCCGCCTCCTCCTCTCTTCTCTTGCTCTTACCCCTCCTCTCCTCCTCTCTTCGTTCCTGCTCTCCTCTCTTGCTTCCCTTCTCCTCCTCTCTGTGCTCGTCCTCTTCTCGCTTGCCTTTTACCTAGCTTGCCCCTCGCCATCCCTGGGGGGCTGCGATCTGCGAGACTGTCGTCACTTTCGAGGGCTGCTGGGGTGGCCAGCGGAGTGACGCCCAACGGGGACTCAGATTCGACCTCGCCATCCCTGGGGGGCTGCGATCTGTGAAACTGTTGCCACTTTCGAGGACTGCTGGGGTGGCCAGCGGAGTGACGCCCTACGGGGACTCAGATTAGACCTCGCCATCCCTGGGGGGCTGCGATCTGCGAAACTGTCGCCACTTTCGAGGGCTGCTGGGGTGGCCAGCGGAGTGACGCCCACGGGGACTCAGATTAGACCTCGCCATCCCTGGGGGGCTGCGATCTGTGAAACTGTCGCCACTTTCGAGGGCTGCTGGGGGGCCAGCGGAGTGACGCCCTACGGGGACTCAGATTAGACCTCGCCATCCCTGGGGGGCTGCGATCTGCGAGACTGTCGCCACTTTCGAGGGCTGCTGGGGTGGCCAGCGGAGTGACGCCCCACGGGGACTCAGATTAGACCTCGCCATCCCTGGGGGGCTGCGATCTGTGAAACTGTTGCCACTTTCGAGGACTGCTGGGGTGGCCCGCGGAGTGACGCCCTACGGGGACTCAGATTAGACCTCGCCATCCCTGGGGGGCTGCGATCTGTGAAACTGTTGTCACTTTCGAGGACTGCTGGGGTGGCCAGCGGAGTGACGCCCTACAGGGACTCAGATTCGACCTCGTCATCCCTGGGGGGCTGCGATCTGCGAAACTGTCGCCACTTTCGAAGGCTGCCGGGGTGGCCAGCGGAGTGACGCCCCACGGGGACTCAGATTCGACCTCGCCATCCCTGGGGGGCTGCGATCTGTGAAACTGTCGCCACTTTCGAAGGCTGCCGGGGTGGCCAGCGGAGTGACGCCCCACGGGGACTTAGATTCGACCTCGCCATCTCTGGGGGGCTGCGATCTGCGAAGCTGTCGCCACTTTCGAGGGCTGCTGGGGTGGCCAGCGGAGTGACGCCCTACGGGGACTCAGATTCGACCTCGCCATCCCTGGGGGGCGGCGATCTGAGAGACTGTCGCCACTTTCGAGGCCTGCTGGGGGGGCCCAGCGGAGTGACGCCCTACAGGGACTCAGATTAGACCTCGCCATCCCTGGGGGGCTGCGATCTGTGAAACTGTCGCCACTTTCGAAGCTGCTGGGGGGCCCAGCGGAGTGACGCCCTACGGGGATTCAGACTAGACCTCGCCATTCCTGGGGGGCTGCGATCTGTGAAACTGTCGCCACTTTCGAGGGGTGCTGGGGGGCCCAGCGGAGTGACGCCCTACGGGGACTCAGATTAGACCTCGCCATCCCTGGGGGCTGCGATCTGTGAAACTGTCGCCACTTTCGAGGCTGCTGGGGGGCCCAGCGGAGTGACGGATTCAGATTAGACCTCGCCATCCCTGGGGGGCTGCGATCTGTGAAACTGTCGCCACTTTCGAGGGCTGCTGGGGGGCCCAGCGGAGTGACGCCCTACGGGGATTCAGATTAGACCTCGCCATCCCTGGGGGGCTGCGATCTGTGAAACTGTCGCCACTTTCGAAGGCTGCGTGGGGGGCCCAGCGGAGTGACGCCCTACGGGGATACAGATTAGACCTCGCCATCCCTGGGGGGCTGCGATCTGTGAAACTGTCGCCACTTTCGAGGGCTGCTGGGGTGGCCAGCGGAGTGACGTCCTACGGGGGCTCAGATTAGACCTCGCCCGCGCTGGGGGGCTACGATCTGTGAAACTGTCGCCACTTTCGAGGGCTGCTGTGGGGCCCGCGAAACTGTCGCCACGTTCGAAGCCTGCTGCGGGGTCCAGCATAGTGACGTCCTACGCGGACGCAGATTGGACCCGTCATTCTACTTCGATTATCCCGCATCTGCGATCGACTGTATGTGTGCGAAGAACTAGACATGGAGTGGTCTGGCACTGACTGACGTCAAATCGTTGTGTGCCAGTGTCTCCTGGGGTGTTGCCTGATGTGGATGCAGCTCGTCGGCGCTGCGACTCGAGCTGGCGGTCGTCCTTCGGGCCCGCAGAAACATCTGCTGAGCTCGATGAGCTAGGGGAACTACAGGAAAGAAGTGCAGGAAACGGAGGCCGGTCATGCAATCGCCGATACCTCGTTGCTCTGTCATCGTCTTTGCTGTTGCATGATCCTTATCTGGCCTGCCGGCGCCGCGGCTCGAGCTGGCGGTCGCCCTTCGGGCCCGCGGGAACATCTTCTGAAACAAGTGGGCGCCGCCCCCTTACTTGCAGGCAGCGCATTGCATTCGCGGACAGCAGCATGGCAGACCGCAGTGAGATCCTCAGTCGCGTGGTGTTGCCAAGCCTGGTGGAGACGCGCGTGATCGACCTGAAGTCCCAATCGCGCGTGCACTGTACCTGCGTGGCGTTCAGGCACGCGCGTGATGCTGCTCGCTCCGCGTTCAACCAGTACGTCGCCAGTGCAACTTTGGACGATGGACAACCGATTGATGATGCGCGACCCCGGCCTTGAGTTTCTTTCCCGCGGGCCGCCCGCAGACCTGGCGGCGCGCCTGCGAGCGCTCAGCTCCCGCGCTGAAATGTGCGGGAAGGAGGCGGAGAAGCTAGCGGTCGAGCTACGCCTCGCTCGTTCCTTGCACTCTAAACAAGTTTTATCATGTGGAACTCAGCGACGACATGGCGCAGGCAACGCTGCGGATTTAGCTCGCGCTTGAAGAACGCGGCAGTCTTCTGTCTCCTCCCGCCACTTTCATCGTCGTCCTATTCCCCGCCTCACCTTCTCCATGCATGCTGCTGCTTCCGCGATGGCCTGTCGCCCCCCCCCGCCCCCCATTCCATCCCTCTCCTACCCCTCGTTCCCGTGCCCGTTCTTCTTCGATCCTGGGGCCTCAATCCTCGTTCTTTCGATCGTCGCCCTGTGAATCGTGCAGCGCATGCGCATCCCATGTAGCTTGCACAGCAAATCGCCGCGTCTACACTGTCGTTGTTCCTGCTAATGTTGGCATACTCCTCTTGCCATTTGATGCGCGTGGGTTGGGTGCGTCGCAGGGTAATTATTATGTTTTACATTTGTGTATATATATATATATCTATATCTATATATATATGGAGGTCTGTGTGTATATATACATATATGGAACCCACGCGCGCGTAGGTTCTAGTCATAGCTTCTCCAGGGCTCTCCGCAAGCAGAGCAAACCTCTACGAATGCAAGTCCCAGAGGAGGAGGAGGAGGAGGGGGACGAGGAGGAGGAGGGGGAGGAGGAGGGCGAGGAGGAGCAGCAGGAGGGAGAGGAGGAGAAAAAAGGAGAGAGGAGGAGGAGGAGGAGGAGGAGGAGGAGGAGGGGGAGGAGGAGGAGGAGGAGGAGGAGGAGGAGGAGGAGGAGGAGGAGGAGCAGGAGGAGGATGAGGGGGAGGTGGGGGAGGAGGGGGAGGAGGAGGAGCAGGAGGAGGGAGGAGAAGGAGCAGGAGGAGGAGCAGGAGGAGGAAGAGGAGGAGGAGGGAGAGGAGGAGGATGAATGATGATGATGATGATGATGTGGACGACTCCGTGGCCAGACGATTCTTTTTGCGCAAAGGGGCGCCAGGCGAGGGCGCGAAATCTGATGCCGCAGGGGCCAGCACCAGGCCGAAGAAACATTCTTGAGTTGGGTGCAAAGGGGGGGGAGGGAGAGACTTGGGAATGGAAGCGCGGCCCGAAAGAAAGCCACAAATAGCCGCGGGCAGCATAATGTGGACGACTCCGTGGCCAGACGATTCTTTCTGCGCAAAGGGGCGCCAGGCGAGGACGCGAAATCTGATGCCGCAGGGGCCAGCACCAGGTATGATGGCTAGTCCAAGGCACTGGCTGCAAGCCGCAAACCTTGAATGAAAACTCACACACATCTAGATAGTCGGGAGACATATCGGAGGCTATCGACACTGTTGGCCATCATTTCACATGCGCATCGTAGTATACAGGCAGGAGGGTGGCGCGCAGAGCTGCGCATCTGACGGTCTAACGATGGGATGCCTAGCTCGCCGAGATGTCGCCTCCGAGTGCGACGGCACGGCGAGGCACCAGGTGAACAGGTCAGGGATAGCCTATCAATACCTTTCACGTTCCAGCCAACAAGTCGAAATCTGTTTCTGACGCGGCCAGAGCACATGCAAGAGTCGAAAACAGTCGAAGAATAACTCTGGCTCACAAGAGAGGTGCACGCACGGCCATCCCATATAGAAGACGCGTCGGGGTGGCACAATATGGCGAGCACATTCTTACCACAGCATTCAGACAGGACGTGCAAGTACTGATCCTGGAAAAGGTCGGCGATGTAAACAGATCGAGCTTTAAAGTTGGTCAGGGTCGAGAGGCCACGAGGATGCAGCTTAGAACGAACAGCAAGGGAATGACGAAGCCAGGTGTCGGTGTCGGGTTCCACCC